AACAGGTTATGGCCCCAGATACCATTCTTAATTCGGTTTAACCGCCTTCACCTGGAGTTGAACTGGTATCTTGTGATTTGACCTGTGGAGTGTTAACTACTACACTATGGACCCACAGGTTATATAAAATAATTTTATTTCAATTTATTAAAAAGTTTTTTTTAACATTAACTATATTAAAAAAATCAATATAAAACTTTAAACAATTAATACTTATAATAAAAAAGTTATATTTTGCTTAGAAATTACAAATGTTTCTTAAATATTTCTATTTATTCTTGGAATGTTCAAAATTAAATAGTAATTTTCAATTACAGATAATAATAATAATGATTTTAATAAATTTGATAATTTAAAAAAAAATTTATTTATTAAAGATAGTATTATTTTTTTACAAAAACAAAAATAAAGTCAATCAATAATTAAAATGAGATAACACACTAATGGAACTTAGTCATGCTAGTCTCTTGATTAGAGAACAACAAGTTGCATGAAATAAATAGTTAAATTTATTAAATGGCTTATTAATAAGTTTAAACAATATTATGTATACAGAAAAATAATTTACAAAATCACTTTGCATACTTAATATATACTGTTATAAGAATTCTAATAAAATAAGCTTTGACAGTGTTGCAAAAAAAAAACATTGCTTGGTGCAGTTGTTCAATTGTTATCACATGTTTTAGAAGAATTTTTTTTATCCCCTATTGTATATATTAAACAATAATATAAATAGTTTTATTTATTACGTAACAAACTAATCTATTTTTATAAAGATATTGGAATTTCTTATCCTTGTCAATTAGGAATGCAGAAGATTCTATCGGTAAAAACTAAATATTTATTTTAACACTTAAATTATGATTTATAATAACACGGTATTTAAATCGAATACAATGAATACAGTGAATACAGTTAAAATCACGTCTTAATGTCCTTGAAGAAAAGTAGAAAAAACATCATTTGCTTTTTTCATTTCAACCCAACCACAAAGGGGAGTGTCTCCAAGAACATAGTGGGTTTTTTTGTTAAAAAACAATAATCCATCAGGCCGATACCCAAAAGAATCATTATGTAAGATCAATGATTTGAGTCTTTCATGATTACAAGGGTATGATGTAAGAGGAGTAAATAAATGTGTCAATATTCCCCGAGTTGGCGCGTCAACTTCCGCAAGCTTAGCATTTAGCCAATAAAATCTATAGATAACAAATTATGTGAGATCGAAATGTACATGTTTCGAAAATTAGAACGATTAATAGATTATACCTAAACTCGGTATCGCAATCGTAGATAGGATGTCCTTTCCAACACATCATGTCTAAAACATAGTATGTGGATGTGGTCTGATCGTAAATACAGTCTAATATGCAATAGTCAGTAGTTTTATTTCCCGAATAAGTACTAGAACCTGCAGGTAAATTAGATTCGAAAGCGTTCATGACAAATCCTAAATAATAGGTGAAGAATGAGACGAATAAAAATATGAAACTATATAATAAAATTCATTAATATATCATACCGTTACGCATTCGACAAATCGTTTTGCCTTTGAAAAAGTGTACCAAGTTAACAAAAAATAAATAGTAAATAAATTTTAAGAAATAAGAATTTTTCTACCTTTTGCAGACACCACAAGACAACGTTTTCCTACTGGACACAGGACAACATACCAGTTTTCCTCCAAATCGCAAGGTATTTCGCACATTTCTTCTGCGTGCATTACTTGATTACTGTGGATTAAGCATCTCGTTAAATTAATTAAATTAAATGTTTTTTATAATGGAAAAAATGAACTTACCTGTATGGATTTCTTGTTCTACGTTTACGTTGAGAAATTCTAGCAGGTTTAAGTCGAGCTTTTTTAAATGCGAAGTTCTGGGAAGGAATTTCATCTTCCTCCAATTCTATTTTACGTTTTGTCCTCCCTGTTCCATATATAAACACAAAGACGCAAAACATAATTCTCGACGCGTCCAGGTGTCATGAGAAAA